GTGAGACAGTGTACGGGGAAGACAAAACGGCATCCAAATCCAAACGGGTCCAAGGGCGGGTCAAAGCACAGTCCGAGAGTCCACCAACAAGGAATCCATCCTGGGACGCGACAAAATTAAAATCCCCAGGAGGGGGGAGCACACGGACAGACGAAACATGGAGGTCCAAGGGTGACGGGGCGAGATCCTCCAGACCCCGGGCTCAGGAAACGGGAGGTGTCGGGGATGAGGCCTATGCCCTCAGGAGACGGACGTAGGGTTTCCTGGTGCTAGGCGGGCCTCGCGACATCTTACCCTAATGATGAGCCCCGAGGACTGGAGGAGCTGGTCTTTAAATAATAACACTAAAATGGTACACCTGGAGAGCTTAATCACAAGGACAATAATGGGAGCAGTGGAGTGCCCTCTAGGGAGGGATGTCGGGCGTGACAAAATTGGTTTCAAAATTGGGAGTGTATATCTATTAATGACCATGCATTCACCCTTAAGAGGCCATAATAGTTGATGGAGGAGGTAAAAGGTTGAAGAGCTCAACTTGACTGGAATGCATTACACATATTTTGTGAATTATCTTTTTAAAGCAGGTGAATGTCTTGAGAAAACCCCGATGCCTTATTTATGTGACCTTCCATACAGTATCTCGGTAAGCTTAAATACTGTACATAGTACATTAATACTGTACATACTGTACATAAATACCAGGTTCAATAAATATCTAAAAAACATGTAATTATCTGAACAACAACCAACAATAAATGAAAGAAAAAAATATTACAATTTCACTTGAATTTCTGTATGTAAGCTATTATGTGGTAAGAATGCTGCTTCTTACACTGAACTTCCCATTATAAAAAAATTTGAACACGCTGTCTTTAGGAAAGTGTCTTGAAGTACTAAGCTTTTTCCGAATTAAAGAACCTCTAGAATGTTGCAGTTTCCGCTCAGTCTTTGGAAGAGGATCCCTTCAAAGTTTTCAATACCAAATGAGAACGGTAAAACTGGTTACTTCTGTATCAGGGATGCCAGTGTTGTAGAGAAGCATCCCTGGCCAAACAGGATCAGCTGATAAGCTTGGTGATCAGTACCCATTAGGGGCAAGAGTAAAGAGATGAGTTGAGTAACGTGAAGATAAGTGAAGCGAAGATGGAGGATTGGACGACTCAGAATTAGTCAAGCTAAATACTCAAGTAGTTCAGGTAGTTAGCTGCGTCAGTGTGCGTAGGCTGCAAAGGAACGTGTAATAGGTTTATTCCATGCTGAAAAGAGAAGGAATTCTTTTCAGCGTGGAATAAACATATTACTTGTTCCTAAATACACAAGTGCCTGATTGTGTTCAAGTGAATAGTGAAGATTGAGAACCAGGCGATAAGGAGTTAATGAAGTTTGATACTCAAGTGCCTGGTGGTGTTAAATTGAAGAGTGAAGTGAAGATTGAGAATTGGTTAACAAGGTGTTAATTAGGCTGAATTATCCAGCACCTGATTGTCTTAAATTAGAGAGTGAAGTGAAGATTTAGAATTGGTTAACAAGGAGTTAATTGGGTTGAATACTCCGGTGCCTGGAGATGAAATGAAGGCAGAGAGCAAAGAACTACCAAGAAGACCTAGAGAGTGTGATGTCTATGTGTGTGAGTAGAGCCAAGGACAGACCAGAAGAAGGAAGAAGACCATCCCATCTTTTCTGAGAAGGGTCAAACACATGAGGACTGGGATTTTGGATGGGGTCAAAAAGAACAGGACAACTCACTAAAAATGCAAAAAATATGGTGGCATTCTGGCAAAGTCAGGATCGTGATGGAGTGTGTGTCAGATTGTATCACAGAAAAAAAACTTTGTTACTAACTGCTTTTCACAAATCATGAAAAGCAGCATCTGACTGAGACTAAAATAAACTCCTCTTGACTTCTTGCATAAGAAAATATGTGCTGCTTCTGGGAGTAGCTTTATATAATCAAATTACCCTTATTGAATTAGCAACAATGGAAAAAAAAATGTTTTAAGGTTTATTCTGACAGTATTGTATACACTGTATAAAACATATCATCTTGGGTTTATTTTTTGTATATGTGAACAGAATCTAGGATTCTCAACAAAGGCATGTCTTTGAAAAAAGGCATCGAGGCATTATGACAATCCCAAGAAAGAAAACCCAGTTAAGAAGGAAATATTTGATGTGTTTTCTGAAAATATGCAAAAGATTAAAAATAAGAATGGAACAACATTTTTATTAATGCAATAGTAGCAAAAAACATTAACACCGAACACTCGTACACAAAAAAATGAAAGTACATTGAAAGTTGTGCTATTGGTATCTCAGAAATTAATTTAGTCTGCAAACAAAATCATTTGAGATGTATCAGTTTATTTTCACAAGCAAAGAATGAAAAAATGCCGAACTCAATACGGCAGGCATGTAATGGATGTCCTTTTCTAACCTGGATTTACTTTTGAAGCTTTCAAGTATGCTTTTCACCATGTTTGTATTTTTAAATGAAAAAAAAACAATGTCCATTTCAAGTCAGGTTTGGCACACAAATAATACACCACCCACAATTTTCAGGAAGGGAGTGGTTTGAGCATACTGTATTTGTAAACCAAATAGCAAAGATTACCTTTAATATTGTTCTTGGAAATGAAAATAAGTAACAGAAAAAAGCTCAACAATTCCTAAAGACAACCTATCTGAAATACAGAAAACAACTTGTAGGGGACATGATGTTTCCATTTTTTTACTTAACCTAATTTAGGTTTCAATAAAACATTTCTCATGTCCACGGAAGACTGGGGGTTTAATTAAAGAAATATGATTTCCCTAATGATAATCAACTGAAAGAGAATACAAAGGACAATAGAACTGTGTGACTTGTAAGGATTTAATAAAATGTGCAAAAAGAGTATGGAAGGATTTTAGACAGATAGTATATTTGTCCCTAATTCTAAAAGCCAGTGATTTTCTGTGATTTTCTACAGCTCTATGGCCTAAGAAGCAGTATTTATATCATGCAATGTACATACAATTAATTTACAGTTTGCTTTATTCTTAACTCAAACTACTTTAAAAATCAGCATGAGATGTTTTTTTTCTGTACACATACTGATCTAGCTCTTCAAACATTTATGTCTACAGTATTTTCCACTTAGCTCACTAATTTATCTGACCAGTGTCAATAAAAGGCTTTTTTCTCAAATTTAAAATGACTTATATTCTTAAAATAAAAGCGTACAAGTCATTTAAAGAATTAATAGCTGTAAAATGTGGTGTTTGTTTTGTTTTATTTTACAGCAGTATATTTATTTTTTCCATCATTATTATTGAATGTAAAAAAAGTAAATTTTAGGAATTGTTTTTGAAAATAAGGTAGTTACTGTACATGTACTGTAAGTAGTTAGATTTTCGAGAATTTGTAATATTTTACATTATGTTGGATATTAATTGTGTAAAGTTATGCACATACATAAATATCTGTTCTGCTTAAAATCTACTAATTTAGTTGAATACATCGTCATATTCTGGGAAATATTTTGTGTAATGTAACAAATATCATAGTATGCACACTTTAGGCACATCCACTAATTTTTATTTCATGTAAAAATAAAGCCTTAAGAAATATCAAAATGGGCAGCAATATAATTAGGATCAAGTCAACAGGACAGATTATCAATCTGACTTTAACTATACTGTTTGGTTTATACCAGAAACTAAATTAGGAATTTAGAGTTTCTCTGTTTTTGTAATAATTACTATCCTATATATGATACAGTATTGTGTACCACATCCAAAGAAATATTTTGTCTTGCTCAGTAACCCAATTGGGGTTCTTAGCTACACTATTGACCTCAGAACATGACTAAACATGATCATGTCACAGAACACAACTGTGAGCACTGGAATCCACATTCTTATGAAAACTTTTTTTTGGTGCCTGTAAAATATGCCTAACAAACAGGCTATATTTCACACTGATCTGCGATAGCTATGAGATCACTGAGGTTTCTTTGGTTATATTTTTAGCACACAAATTTTAGTAGATAATACTGATCCACACAAATTCCTTTGGTTGAAAGTCTGTTTGCCCATTAACATACAGGTTTTGGAGAACACCAAAAAGAAATATGTATAAGTATCATAAAATAACAAGAGAACTGACAAATAAATAACATTTTGCTCTAAGATCTTTCAACAACTGTATTAAAATGACTTAAACAAGAACAATGTGGGATCAATGTGTTCTTTTCAATTTCAAATAAAATCATAAAGTTCAGCATAACTTTAAAATGAATATTAATTTTAAATCTGTAATCTGTCATATTTATTAAACCTGGCAACTGAATACATGTGGTGCAACACAATTTAAATAATTTAGGCATGTTATGCCAAAAATATAGTCTATTGCATCACTGTAAATCTAGTTATCGTTAGGTACTGTAGGTATTTCTAGAGACCTATTATAGTTGGACTTCAAATTCTAAAACACAAAATACCAAGGGCAATTCTGAGAACCTTTAACAGGTGAAGGGAATTTTTTTCATCAACACAATCCACAATCCACACTACACAATAATCATTTGATTGCGGTAAACTGGTTTTCATTATTTTAATTTTTCCAAAAAATTTTTTTTTTTAATTTTAATTAAATTGTTTCATTGTTTTATCCTAGGTAGAGTACAGATTGCTTAATATCTTAAGTATTTCATGGAATTTCAGATTATGACAATAACTTTAATAAACTAAAGATATTTTACTTTAATTGATCATGAAGATAAACCAGTATCTTAGCTGCTTTCTCATCTTAGGCTGTTTCCAATTATGTTTATATACAATACTACTTCTTTACAATAACTCATCTATTCCTGTATTTTATGTTTTATAAAACATTGTGTGAATACTTCCAGGCACAACTTTCTTTGAAGAGCACTACTACATTTACGAGCTTAATTAATTGGCCAAATTCCAATCATTCTTTTTCAACTTTAATGTTAATGCTGTTTTGTTTAATTTAAAATAACATCCTGTCTTGTACTGATTTTAAAGTATATACTGTACTTGTCTCCTACTCTGCATTACAGGATGGAAATAAGGGAAATAAAAATAAATCACTTGAGTACAAAAGCTTTTCTCTGCCATAAAAGAAATGTCCTTATTTAGACTTGCCTGATTTCAAAATGTATCATTAGATGTGCAGAAAATAAGAGCATATAAGATCATTTTTTTGTATCCAAATACTTTCTGGTAAATTAAATCTTTTAGCTATTCAACACACCTGAGCAAATTGCAATTTGTTTGGCACCTTTTGAAAGCTAATAGCCTAGACAATAAATTAAAACAATCTCAGAATACAGTATTGGATTTAATAATTTTCTTTTCATATTAATGTATCAGAGCAGACAGGATAGACTACAAAATTAAATTTCAGTTATGATATGATTGCATAAAGTGATGCAAAACTTGGCTACTTTTAGGAATGCAGATAATGTATTTAACATAAAATATAGAGATTTGATGACCTGAAAGCAATGAGGTCAAATACAATAAATTAGATCCTCACTCACTGACCAGGATAATGCAATTAATACGACTCAGATACTACAATGCACTTTACAAGTTGAATTTGTTGTAATTTCTGTACTCCTGAAAAATAGATGTGGAAAATGAGCAAGCCTGGATATAATAAGACATCTCATCAATCAACAGTCCAAAAAGCAAACAGTAACTACAGTATAAATATCAATGAGAAATAATGCAGAAACTGCAATTAACCTGTGACCCCTAAATAAATGCCTTACTCAGTTTCAGTACAGAATGGTTCCAGTTTCCATTTTAACATCAAATTTCTCATCTTATTTGAATTTTACCCTTCGAAAACACAATGTAACTAGAATCCAGAAAACACCCATCACCTGTAAGGTTTCACTGTCTGTCATTATTTCACAAGATCATAGAAAGAAATGGGCATTAAATTGTTAAACATTGTAGTTATATTTTAAAATAGACACCCCTGTTTAGTCATGGTGAACCCCAATCCAATAAGTCTTATAGATCACATTGCCTCAAATTTCCTATTTCCAAAGACTGGGAACACTTATTAATTATTGCTTAAAAAGGCTCAGCTCTGGAACTCTGTTCCTCATGGGCTAAATTTGTGTTCCAGATTTAGAGATTATTTAACACATCACCTGGAACTGATCTGAATTAAATTGTTCCAAGTCTTCAGAACCTGATGTTTTAATAGTTACCTGTAAAACTTGCAGCAGTGAGTCTCTCCAAGAACTGGTTTAGAAATACCCACTCTAAGAAACACAAACATGAAGAAGGATGGTGGATGCAGACTGGTTTCAAGTGGTGAAACATCCCGCTTCAATTTGACTCATTCTCTATTGTATTTTTTTTTCTTTGATTTAGACAGAGGATCTGTTCCATACATTGAAGCAATCTAAATTAGCTAAATACAATGATAACTGATTATAAAAGATTCAGGTAAAATGTACACCTGAACAACCTTTTCAAAACGCTGGGATAAAAACTAGTCAATTTTTTTTTCATTTCTTCCACCAAGTGTAACGACAAAGTAAAAGCATTTATTTTCAAGTGTTAAAAATATAAGGACTTGTAAAAGCACAATTCCCACAGCTGAGTTCATAAAAATGATCACATATACAGTATGTTAAGTAAGGGCACCAAAGTCTCAGTCAACAGAAAATGTCACATTTGTATAGCAGTCCCAGAGACTTCACCTAAATAATGGAGCTATTGCTTTGCCAAAAGCTTTTATTGCTTGCGACAGTATTAACTAAATTTGTGGCACAAAACAAAAGTAACAAGATTGTGTCAAAGACAGAAAATATCCCTTAAGCCTGTCAATGAAATGTCAGATCTTCATTTCAGATAAAAAAAGATACAAAATAAAAATAACACTTACAAATGTACTTCTGTGATTTTTAATATTGCTTGTAGATAATCTGCATTCATGCCACTCCAAAATCTTCATGAATTTAAACACTTTTTAACCCCTTATTTGGCAACAGTGAAGAAAAAAAAAATATCATAGATTGAATGTGTGTACACTGTTACAAAAAACACCTTTATCAAACGTGGTAAATGTAGTCTGTTAAATAATCTTTCAGCCTGTTAGGCAGAGGCAGGTCCTGAATCCTTTTGGTTGCTTTATTGATGGAGATCCTACAGAGATGCTGCAGAGATGGTATTGATGTATAAACTGGCTTGGTCAAAAGCAGCTGGACTGTGCCATTGGGTGGGTTAAGAGACTCTGAGCCTTTCAAAGTCCTTGACAGAAACACATAGTGTTCTACAAGATGAACTACGCTGTCAAACTGCTTTAGTTTGGGTTTGATGAGCACCACTGAGTCCAATTTGAATTTGCCATCTTTGTATTCTATGCGCAAGTTGGTTGGCCCCACGGAGGTTTTGGCAGAGATGGTAAACAGGTAGTCCCTTTGTGAGCTATCCCTGACCAGGAAGGTGCCCTCCGGTGTGTCCTGGAGTATCTCTTTAGCTTCACTGGCAGTTAAACTACCCCAGTACCACCCTAGTCAAAACAAAACAAATGCATTGGATAAGTAATTCAAGTAAAATAACAATTATATTATCAATATAAAAAAGTCCTTATTTCCTTTACTTATACCTTAAATAATGTTTCAGTGCTGCAAAAACACCCAAAAGCATACCTAAAATAGCATAATTCCTTTCTAGACTAATACTTTAAGTTGAAAAGGTCAGCGATCTCATCTCATTTAAGAAAAAAATCCAGCATAAAAGAGTTTAGTTACTTTTACAATGAAGACATTGACTGAAAGATGCTAGCTGAATATCCCAAAGGCTCTGTTGCCCCATTGTTAGTATCATTTATGTCAGTAGTAGCAAATCAGTGACATGAAAGGCATTAATTCCAAGATCATGTACAGTACACTTACATTAGTCTCTGTTTAAGTACCTTGGAATGAAAAAAAATGTACAATCGAGGAGACTGAACTAAGTCATTTCATGGACCTGTAAAAGCTAAGTTACAATGTAACTGCTTGTTATGCGTTGTTGTATTTAATCGGCCAAGACACAATCTAATAAGTGGAAAACACAATACTTTGTGAAAAGCATTAGTTCATTCTATTAGATCAGCAAATGCTCACTGTTTTATAGAATCAAAAGAGCACCATGAACACAAGTAGAATCTTTGTGGAAGTGCCTTTAAATTTGAAATAAGGTGGCACTTCTTTACACAAAGGGTTGCAAGAGTATGGAACAAGCAACCTATCCATGTTGTTAAAGCCAAAACCTTGATTTTTTAAAATACATTTCTTGAAGAGATCCTCAGAAAAATAAGCTACTAACTACCACTAGATGGGCACAATCCCAATTGGGTGTTCTCATGTACTTAACAACATATCTTGTAGTGAAACACTGGTTGCAACAGAATACCGATCTGAAGATACAGCAAAAAATACCTAGCATGATAGAAGTTCCAACTCCAGTAGCACACAAATGATATGTGGAGCTTACAGCAATGGGAAATTGCAGCAGACTTTAGTACGGACCATCAGAAATCCTGCTTAAGCACAAACAGACTCTGCTGAAGACAGTGAGTGTCTGTGTCCCTTTACAGCCAAAACATTAATGGAGGTTTGCTCTATTTCTAGATGACTGTACAGTCTGCACAAAGGAGCAGCATTTTGAACTCTGGTCTCTAAAAGAAACACTTGTGGTGTAATTAAATAGATAAGAAGCACCATACATTGTGGCAGTGATCTTAAATTCTTAATTTCAGGCTGTTTTGCAGTTCTAATAGAAAGGTGATATCTTATTACTCATTTATCTGTTTGCTGTTGGTCAAAACTGTTGCATTTCCTTACTAAGCTACACTTTGTTGAGCCCTTGCTCTTTGATTGGTCGCCTGACTAGATTCATGTCTGGATTATTGTGCCTGTGACCACACCTAATTTCAACCCCAAGTGAACTATCCACGATGATCTTGAAGAAGGCACATTTATTTGACAACATCATTCTGGAACTAGGTGAGAGCTACCCACTGACTAGAGAAGAAGATGGTGCAAGGGCCAAACTCGGAAAATCAACTTAGTGATCTGGAGCTAGTGCCGTCTCCACTGAGCAGCAGTGGAATGACAACATGGAAGTCAACCGAGCCACCTCATAGCTCCAAAGTCCTGGTTTATGATTTTGGTGTTTGTGTTGGTTTCCTCGGGTACTATAATTTCTTCCTAAGTACCCAAAGGCTCTTCAAAGGATATCTTTACATTTATTTGTCTGACCACTGGTCTCCCATGATGAACACATGTGTGGCATCCTACCACTTTAAAAAATAATACTCTGCAGAGAGCTTTGGTGCCTCTTTGACTTCTGCATTTGAGAATAGAGAGAACTGAGAGAAGTACAGATCTAGATTTAGTCTTCAGCTAAAGGTGACACTTAGGGAAATCAAATTGTATTTTGAGTGGTGTTGACTTAAAAGTGGTACCAGAAAGTCTTCTTATGACACATGGAGGGTTTTTCCATTCCTCATTTTTAATCTACACTGCTCCTGTGGAACACTTTATACAGTATATGTGGGTTTTCAGCACTTTCGACCATTTTAAATTTCCAAGCACAATTATTGCACAACGGACTCGGGCGGATTTTATTCTACAGCCATGTGACCCTTTTTGTTTTTGATCTGTTGTGAATAGCCATGCACGCGCTAGCAATCGCATTAAATAAACGCTCTTCAAAATGTATGCTGGAAATGTGGAAATCTGGACCCACATTAAAACGGCCTGAATTATACAGTACATGTTGCAAGCAGGCTACTCCATGAAACTAAGAGTTAAGAAACTCTTCTACATGTAAGTGGGCATATTCAAGAACAGTACAAACTAAAATGGTAGCAAAATGGCTGTGTGAAACATGGAGAAACTGACTTAAAATGATTCCAAAACTCAAACTGCTTTGCACTTCTGAAGAATTGTAATTTACTCTGAGATAGACTCATTTATATTGAATTATTATGTATAAATTCCAACGTGTAGCTCCCATGTATCTTCTTTGAATGATTCATGCTTTCTTTGAACAAGAATTAAATTGGAAAAATAATAAAACAGGCTCACTTAAGGAGTGCCAGTTCTTGTCCTGGATAGCCATTGAATCTTCTGGAACCCTGACGTAACATTATCCTGTATAAACTGACTCCACTATGGTTTTGGCTTCTCCAAATCTTATTTTATTCCAGGAATTTAGTTACTGATATTTATAGAGGCCAATAAACCGTGCAAAATGTGGCTCACCAGTTACAGGTTAGATCACCCCTGGGCTACATAAAAATTTAATACAATAATTTACAGATTTTATTTTACTTTAGGCTAAGGAAAGATATCAGCAAGAAAGCATGTGATGACAAAATACTTTTAAAATCCTTGGTAAATCACAAAGGGCAAATAATGCTTGTGTCTTAAACACAAGAGGCTTATTTGTGTGCATTAAAACACAAAAGCACATCTACAATGGCACCACAAAATCACATTTTGAAAAGCCACGGTACTATATAATCTGAGGTGTATAGAACTTTCCCTGTTTATGATTTGTATGTGTCACAAAAAACAGCTTGCATGGAGTACGAACTGAGCTATCATTAACTGACTGAATTAATTTAAAAATATGAACACTTTAAATTCTTGGTCAACCTGAAAAACTTTAGTACAAACTGCTTTTTCAAAATAAGAAAGGGAAACAGTCCCACGATAACTACCTGGCATAACGCTGCCTCTCTTTTCATAAATCTAATTTACACGGACAAAGAAATATGAAATGACATTTTAAGAGACAGAAAAAAATAGCGTATTACTCGTTTAAACGTTTCCCTAAGAGCACTCAGTGTCCTGAAAGGGGCTGTGACCCTGAGTTGTGCTGATGGTGAAATACGTTATTATAACGCAAACTGTGGTCATCGTACCTGTCTTCTTAAGATCTCTCATGGCTGCTGCAATGCGGTTCTGATCGGAATCTACAACTCTGGACTCGGTTTCCGACCTCCTTTCATTCTCTATGGTTTCGGTGGAGTCGGATGAATGGCAGGTCATTGGAGAACACCCTGAAATCCACCTTCGCGCCTCCAGCAATGTCTTTACCTTTTAAGTGTATTCCTTCAAAAAATAAAATAAAATGAAATCAAAATGGGTTGGCTAAACCTTCCTATCTTTTAGTATCGGTACAAATCTATGTTCTTCCACCTAAAACAAAAAAGGGTTAGAGTTACTTTATAATGCACTACTGTAGTAGGGGAATTTTGGATACAGTTACTTTATACACTGTAGTTGTGTAAATTCAGTTACATATTGTTATATCGCCTTGATATTTTGAGATTACAGGCAAGACACTTAACTTTTATTTATAGCATGGTTCATGAGCATCGCAGGCGAAAGGTGAGAGGAAAACGTGTATTCTGCATTTCTGCTACATTTTTTCACTTTCCGACTATTGCATAATACTGGACATTTTTAAACAAACAACACCAAGCACAGGGCTCTCTATTAAACGCACCAAGTCCTAATTTGCCTGTTTGGCGTAAAGAACAAATTTAATGTTCACTCCATTTTTTAAATTCAATAAATTTAAAAGTTAACAATTTTGAAAAAAAAAATACTTTGGAGTCAAGTTCTGTTCTTAACATTGGAGTCAAGTTCTGTTCTTAACACAGAAACGATGGGATCCTGATAAACAGCGTTACTAGTCTATACATAACTTCAACTTTAATTAAAAAAATGAAACAAATGAAGCAATGACAGTAACACACTTCGTTTCCTCATCTTGGACGAGATGGTGTTTAAACGTGATGCAGCCATCATATGAATACAGAAGATTCATTTGAATAAATAAAACGAATGAAAAAAAAAAGAAACGACGTTTTTAGTACAGCTCAGTGCTGTGTCGTTGGAACGAAAACAATCTTACCTGTCAGCACGGAAGGAGCGGGCTCCAATTTAAAAAAAAAAAACATTAGTTGTTGCACCAGATTTTGTGTTTCACGGACTTCATCTGACTGACAGTGGGGTAAAAATGTGCAAGACGTTATCACATCCACGCGTACAGCGCGAGAAGCCACTTGAAAGAGTTCCCCTGAGCAAAGGCGTTAGAAATCTTCTAATGCTCCATTACCCGTATAAATGGAAGCATTCAACGTATCATCCTTACAGATATATCCACCAGGCACCAAATGTCAAGCCTTAGGTAAATATGAACTGAGAACGTTTTCCCTCTCAACCTCACTGGATTTACATTTGGTGCTGCCTGAACTGTGCACTATAAGCACGAGGACGAGCGACGAGATACCGCATATCTCGTCTTAGCATGGCGCGCATTTACAGAAAAACGGTAAGGATGCGGACATCTTCTGCGACTTCGCAAGTGTTTCTCTTTGCATTTGTATTTTTTTTTTTTGTTGTTGTTGTTTGACCCAGTCCGTAAGAAAGACTGCCAGCTGCTAAACACAAAAGGCCGATTTCCAGGAACTTTCCAGGAATCGTGTCACGTGACCTCACCAGCTAACCCAATTTTCTTAAGGTGGCTCCAAAATGTGTTTTCTTTAAAAAAAAAACGTTCTTCCACCGTGTTGCGTTGTCTGTCGCGAGTTGCAATAGGTTCAACATTCCTACGAAAATGTATCACATCGCATTTTTTCCCCGTTACATAAAATATGTGTGCTATATCTAAACATTATTGGTCGTCTGCTAAGGTGAATTACAATGCATTTTTTTAAAAAAAAACGTTGTTTCAATGGAATAATCAATTAAATATTTTTATAAATCACAGCGCGGCGTTCTCCATTTTATGTTCATGTAAACAGAAACACGAAAGTCTTACAAGATAGATCCCAATAAAGTAATATACTATTATTCATGCATTTTACAGTTATACAGCTGCTTTTTTTCCGACTGGCAATATTTTGCTTCCCGGTGTTTGCGAATATGAATACAAAATTTGTATGTCTTTAAAAATGTGAACAGGAGATCAGTGCTTCTGTTCATAAAATGTGTGTACGTTACAATCGCCCACATTATACAAGCATTATATTAATTTGCACTTACCTCGGTCGCTGTTCCTTCAATACCTAAGAAACACGCCAATTCACTTTGCATACGGTACATTTAGCATTACACCTTAGCTTTGCAGTTTCACGGCACGAAAACGAAGTTATAAAACCCGTCCGCAAGGTTTTTAGAGTAGGGCAGTAAAGTAGAATGAAGAGCCACTTATAATGAGATGTAATAAATTCTGGTTAGCCTTAAGTAACTCTTAATCTTTCTCCAGCTACTGCAACAATCGTAATTGTAATCCTAACCTATATTTACTGTATACCAACTGATTAGATAGGTGTTTATATAATGTCCAAAACTAAAACGGGTTTCTTCAAATTTGGACTCGTTCGATCATATTATTCCAATCCATAGATCAAATACGGCTTCAGAGGACTGTATGTCATGCACTTTCGGCACTTGACAAACCATAAATTCTCCTTAGCTCATGTTATGTTTGCGTTTCTTGTTGTAATTAAAACGTTGCTTCACATCTGAAATCATTGTCTTTTATTCTGTCGATGGATTCTAAATATGCTTTTGAATAAAAAAAATCGTAAAATAAATAGCCAGATCGTGGACAGGTTATAGTTAAAACACTTCATGCTGGTAATTGCGACACCACGCTTCCTTAAGAAATGAATTTTTCTGTACGGTATTTCACTTAATATTAACAACATAATGAAACAAAGAAAAAACACGAACTTTAAGGTTGTGGTATACTGACTTTATGTGAGTTCTTAGAAAGTCAAAACAGCTCCGGTACTATCAAGAAATTAACAGACTTCCATTACAAGAAAAATGAAATTCTTCACGTTGTCACATTATCCGATCGAAACTAATTTGTAGATCCTAGTATGGATGATTATAAAATCTGTATTTAAAGTTTAATATCACGATAACCCATTTCGCAGCAAAGCTCAGATTTGTTATTATATAACTGCCTAATTCTTTTTTTTAAATTTTAGATCTGCTTAGATCCGCTTTGGAATAAGAAAGAGAAACAGAAAACTAGTTTTGAAAATACACAATCTATCTCGGTTTTGGCGTTGAAATTAACATGAAACAGCCAATTATCGCATCGATTTAATATGAATTTATTGTAATGCAGTTGAGGAATGAGCTGCAGTGCCATTGAGTAAAAGCATCCTGGGGCCCTTAATTTATGCGAAAAATATTACATAAAAAATACTGCGCACTAGAGTTAATTACGGTGAAAATGTTTTTCCGAATTTCGGTTAAAGCTGTGTCGAAGAAAACACCATCACCAAACTTCAAAGTCCTAATTTATTTGATTGTTTTCATAGTTAATTGCATTTAACAACCCAATTTAATTACATTTTGGAAAAAAAGTACATTAACATGAATCTGTTTTAAAACTCCCACTAAAAATGTTTAAAGTGTTGTATTTTTACCAGTGTTAACTTTAGGTTGTTGTTCCTATTACGATCTCGCACCCTCTCCCCCCCAAAAAAAAAAATCTAATCACCATTTTCGGGAATAAAATAGTTTTTTTAGTCTTTTTGAAATGAGCAAACATTAAACAAGCAAACAGAGTACTATAGGGTGTCTACAGATCAGTTAGCTGATTGGGCTTTTAATTATACTGTGCATAATGATTAGCTGTGTCTTGAACTAGGCGTTGTGTTGTGGTACTATTTTAGCAACGCAATAATTGATTTCGGCGTTGATGTGGTAGCAAAAGTTAATGCAGATTCCAAGGTTAAATTGTATCTTTTCGTGGTCGGTGTAAGCTGCTTTTAGTTTATAACTAAGTGTTCCCATATCATCGTGATCTGTCCTTAAAATAAACTAGGCAACTGTTAGGCCTAAATTATTTTATCACAATACAATACTCATGCACGCTTTAAACGCGATAGAGCACGGTTCGCAGCAGTACAAGGTTGTTGGATGTGCAAAACAGAATTAGAGGTGAATTATGTCTTTTTTTATATGAAAATACAATTTATTATACTCATATGTTGTAAATCAATGAAGACAACCTATGATCACAATCCTACTGGTTTTCAAATTATAATGCATTCTTCACATAATATGTGTTCTTGAGATCCAGTAATCCGTGTAATACCGATCTAGTTTGGCCATACAGCCCGAAAATCAAGGGCACTCTCGGTAGTATAAACGAAAAAGCAGTGGATTGAGGACTGAACATCTGAATACCTTATTTATATCAAGGTAATGGATGTTTGGAGCAAGATTTACAGCTATTTTGTTGACGATGATTCTATCGAAATCTTTCAAGAAACTGAAAAAATGACGTAATTCTCATATCTTTGTAATTAATTAATCACTGCAAAGTAGGCACAGTAATTAGCACGATGCCTCACATGCCTCACAGTTTTTAAAAGGCAACTTATACAGTAGATACACATAGGTCAAATGCGTGTGTACAATGCATACCCCAATTATCAATCTACAGTATGTGTAAATTAAATGTAACTAGTACTTTACATAACACATAAAGGTACTCATGTGCTGATTTTGCTGTTTGTGTTCTGTTGATTCAAAATGCATCACCCTAATGTTTTACAGACTCTCTCAATTTTTAAGTAGGAGAGTGGTCAATTATTCCAGATTTCATAAAGACCAACTAACAAATACTACAGTATGTGCTGTGAAAGATGAACCCAGGGACGCAGGTGGAAATTAATTGTTTTCTTGGTGCTAAGCAAAGTCTAATTCAAACCTACTGTAGCTAAACCAATACACTGTACTAGTCAAAATCAAGAATCCTTAACTCTGGACCCAGATTATACCAAACCTTTTCACCCAATGGAACACCAGCATCAAGTACTGGGTCTATAATGTGCAGCTGGCAGGTGGATTGAAATTTTGATTTAATTTTATGCTCAAACCATGGAGAACCAGAACGTCGCATGAAACTAGAATACATGAAAACTTTGATCCAAAGAGCTGTGCTCTTACAGCACATTTAATAATGAAGATTAGTTTGGGTTTATCATGTTTCATGTATAAAATGCATGATAATTTTGTCAAAGGCAATATGGTTGAGGTGTTACACTCAAGGTGTACAACAGCAGTATGCAGTGGGCTGGTTGGAACTCCCTTACCTTTCTGTTTACAAGTCCAGAGCGCAGACTGCTCTTCGACACCACTGCCTGTACAAGGCATCTATTATTACCACCCATTAAATCTGTGGGCTGCACCACCTGCCTTTCAAGAATGTTTAGTCTTCTTGTAATGTGGAGCAGTGGTCAGAGCTCAGGAACTATAACTGCAAGGCTGTGGCTTCAAATCCCTGATGGATCTCTGCTGGTTTACCCTTGAGAAAGGTACTTTCAGTACACTTACAGTAGATCGCTTCAGTGAAATGCCCAACTGAATAAGTTCAAATATAAGTCACTTTGGGTAAAGGCATTTGCCAAATAAATGATTATTATTATTTTGACAAAAATGTCCACTTGTCAACTGGGTAAAGGAATTTGCCAAATAAATGATTATTATTATTTTGACAAAAATGTCCACTTGTCAGCTATCTCAGATTAATGACTATATCATGTTTTCTTCCCTATAAGGAAAAAACAAAAACATGATTACAATTACTGTAAATCAAGAATACATCAGCATTCATAATGAGTTAAAGTTTTCCAGAACACGATTAACCTACTGTACCTGTAGGTTTATAAATTTGGAGGAAGACGTCAGGAGGAAGCTCACACAAACTCCAAGAGAACATGCAAACCCCATGCAGAGAGCACGACAGGAACTGAACTCAGGGTCCCAGAGCTGCAAGAGAGTAGTGCTAGCGGCTCTGCCATTGTGTCTTCCAACACGTGGAACATAGTTTACTTTATTAGTGATTCAGTGCAATCAGCTAAAATTCTATTTTTCAAATTACCAATTTATTTACAAAAAGAATAACTGCCTGAATTATTGGTGTCCCTCTTTTCAGTACTATGTGCACTCCCCCCTTGCAAGGATAACAGGATAGAGCCTTTTCTAGAATGTTTTATGAGATTGGAGAACACATTGGGAGGGATGTTATATCATTCCTCCATACAGAATCTTTCCAAATCCTTGATATCCTTCTGTGTGAGCTTATGGACTCAATGAAACCCACAGGTTTTCAATGGGATCCAAGTCTGAGACTGAGATGTCATGTCATTGCTTTATACCATATGGTGTCGCGGGAAGCCAGAGCCTACCTGACAAGCAATGAGCGCAAGGCAGGGTACACCCTGGACAGGGCGCCAGTCCATCACAGGGCAAGTGCAAGCCAGTCATCCATGGGGACAATTTAGAGGCCACGGTAAAGGATAACTCTCTACTCTTAATCGAGAAATAATAATAATCATAATCATAATCATCATCATAATAATAATAATAATAATAATTGCTTATATAGCGCTTTTCTGGACACTTTACAGGTAATGGGGACTCCCCTCCACCACCACCAATGTGCAGCCTGGATGATGTGATGGCAGCCATAGTGCTCCTCAACGCTCACATCATATAAGCTATCAGTGGGGAGAAGAGCAGAGTAATGAAACCAATTCATAGATGGGGATTATTAGGAGGCCATGATTGGTAAGAGCCAATGGGAAATTTGGCAAGAACACCGGGGTTACACCCCTACTCTTTTCGAGAAACACCCTGGGATTTTTAATGACCACAGAGAGTCAGGATCTCGGTTTTACTAATTTTAGTTATTCCTTGCATTGTCATCTTAATTAGGTTTAATCTATATTTCTTCTCATATTACACATAGGATGGTAAATTTAATTACATGTGTTTTGAACAAAATTGCAATTGTACACCTTTTTAAAATTAGTTTAATTCACTTTGTATGAATTGGTTCTTCAGAAATTCTTCAAGAATCTCTTCACCTTGTAGAAATCGTGCTTAAGATTATTAGAGAAATTTCAATTTTAAATCACTGTGTTTTCTGTGGTCTCAGGACTCAGGACAGCAGCTGTAGTTGGATCCAAAAGTGTTTGTAGAGTAATTCCATTTCAGATCATTGGATTTGTAAGAGTTAATAATTTCTGTGTGACAGACTCCAACTTAAGCATAGTGACTTGAGGAGTCAGAAAACATGAAAAATTCAGGTGGATGTAAGAAGTACTGCATAGGAGTCAGTAGTTCAGGTGGGTAGCTGCGTCAGCATGCGTAGGCTGCAAAGGAACAAGTAATAGGTTTATTCCATGCTGAACAAAAGAAGAAAGAGAACACAACGTTCACACCTGAAGAAGGCTCCACGGCCGAAACGTTGTGTTCTCTTTCTTCTTTTGTTCAGCATGGAATAAACCTATTACTTGTTCCTTTGCTGCATAGGAGTCTTTAATTACAGAGCACCTCAATAAATATACACAGCCAATTACTAACAGCTTCAACCACCACCTCACATTGTAAGATGCTTTATATATCCAAACTCATAACAATTGCTTATCATGTGAGAATGAGACCCCAAAACCTTTACCATAATCACTTGGGTGTAATTAATCACCTATTATCACCCTGTGTGTCTATTTACAATGATAGAAAGCTATATTTGCATCTAGTGGAAGGTTAACTAATAAACACTTTCCTGAAAGACCGACTTGTCACACTCCATACAGCACGGTATAATGAAATTCGCATTTTTCTCTTTTCTCTTCACTTTCCAGACTATACACGTTGTGACTCTAGGTATTCTCATCTGCAGGCTTTGGCACCACCAGTAAGCAAAAAGTATTGCTGTTCAACTATTCCCACCACGTGTCAGACTGTGTAAACAGCTAATTGATATAACTAACTTGATTACAGAGAATTTAAATTTGGACCGTTTATATTTACATTGAAAATGAAAAAAATGTAACTGGAATAATTGCAAAAACAGAACATATAAAATACTAGCAGTTAAACTGAAAATGCAATTGACCTCTGTGTTTTAGTAGAATTCCATGTTTTTGCCGTTTCCATATGGTAACTAAGCAATAATCCCATAGTGTCTCAGGTATTATGAGACCAATGAGAGGTTTATGTAACCACATGTTGAATCTATTATGAAATCTTCCGTCTATAAAATCAGTAATATTTTGAAGGAATGCCCATCTCTCACCTGTCAGTGATATTCTCCGTTTCTCTCTGATTTCTCTGTTTCTGGTCAAGTTCCTATCACAGTTCATCAGCAGACTCCAACTTTCTCCTGAAATCTCACTGGTAAAATACAGTAAGCACTTTTGTGTAAGAATTATTATTCCTACACAAATTCTTATTCTGAATTTTCAACTCATCTACAACTATTCTGTATTTTGTTCTGTAACTATGAACTTCCTTAGTTTTTTAAAACTTCTTAGTAGATGGATAAGCTTCCTGTAATTCTCACAATTTCAAACGGTCCTCTGTTGATTGATACTCAAATAAAAAATCCAGTTTATTCTGAAATGTATTTTTTTTTTATTATGGTTGATTAGCCTTCTATTATGAATATGGAGGACAGAACGTCTCTTACATAAATAGGTATATACTGCACAAACAATGACAAAAATAAAAATTTTATATGCTCAGACATGACACTAGATGATTGGAGAGCACACGCACAGATATACAAACACAATTCAGAGATGAAAGCATTTGGCAAAAACGCACACAGACAAAGAAGAATATGCAGATTCCACACAGAATCTACCCCAATCTGGACTTTTTAGGGCAATTCTTGGACTGGATATTTTAAAATCATTTTTATAATACACGTGCAAAGTGTCAAATGTGAACTTGTGTGTTGTTTAGGCTTTGAGGTTCATTTTGCTTGAATACTAAAATGTTCCCCAAATACTCTCAGTGAATTGTTAAAATGTGTTGAACAGCAGCCAGCGTTGTTCTTATTGAGTTACAAAGTTATAAAAAAGTAATTTATTGGCATCAAGTAAGGCCCACGCTCATAGGTTTTTCAGGATTCTTGGAAAATTGTTTTCATGGAAATCCGAGCTCTCTGCATTTCAGAGAAATATACTGTATGGCTGCACAAGGCTGATTACATTGCACACTGAGCGGCTCTTGAGTGTCTAAGAGCCTTTTGTCAACTTATTTCAATTGAAAATTAAATATGTCTAAGCTTCACCGTGTCATCTTTCAAAATCAGTTCTTTACAATACAGTACATACAAAAACACTACAAAAATAATGTGCAGCATTTCCAAATAACATCATCACTAAACCTCACCACGAAAACTGTATCTTTAATAATGATACTCTTTTTCATTCTAGCAAATGGCAATTACATGTCCTGCACACATGAACCATGCTGACGGATACTGTACACTGTAACTGTATAAAGTTATTAGAGCAGCAGCAGGCTGCTAGCACACTGACTGAATGGCTGTCTTTTTGTAGACTCTGTTATATTCAGACATATCATTTTTTAGTTCTTATGGCATTTGGGCTATCAGCAGTCATTATTATTTGTAAATGATCTGCAAAAAAAAGAACAAAAGGGGAGAAAGAACAGCAAATTAAGAAAAAAACAACAACCAGCAAATAAACTATGTAGCCTCTCTCATCTTGGCGTAAAAGGAAGAAATGATAAAATTACTGTTCCAACAGTAAAATATAGCCCTATTTTTAAGTCATTGGTATGTGTGTTTTTAAATGACATTTTATTGTATTTTAATTATTTTTTCCATATCAATACAGAAACAAATAGTCTTATACAGAATACAAAAAATATAATAAAATGTGTCTGATAATATATGGAAGCAGTGTGGTTGATTTTCAAATACTCTTTTGGTGTATATTTTCATAAATATTATTTTTTAAAATATCTTTTTTAATTTCTTACATTATCTACAACTAGTGTTGTCAACAGGTCAGTTAATTATCTTTGACACAATGTTTTTTTAGAAAAAGTGACAAGTAACCTTACAAACAATATCACACTAGATGAAAAAACGTCTAAGATGTAGAAATCAATGCACTAAATTTAGTTCAAATGTATTTTCTCTTTTTTGTTTGAAGATCTAACATTAACATAAACTTAGGCTAACCCTAAATCTGTCTCCTTATACTGTATCCTTAGAGCTAACCTTAGTGTCAATTCTAAGCTTAAATCTAATACTAGATCAAACCCTAGCCTTCAGACAGCTTAATCAGAGTCCTAACCAAAGCTGTAGTCTTAATCCTAAATCTAACCCTAGAATTATCCACAGGACTAACTGCACCCTTAGCCTCAAGTAAATACATTTTCTTAATAATATTTTTTTTAAAATAAATTGGTAATACAAAAGGGAATTTTGACAATCAAAGGTCTTAATGATCAAATAATTACAATATACAACTACAGCTGACAAAACAGTTACAGCTTCAATTATATACACTTGCACATAAAGTGTAATTCAGACACGTGCGGGATTTTGCATGCAGGAAGTAAACAAAATGAAGACTATAAATACAGAAAAAGAAACACTGAGAGGCTTCATATGAAAAAGACTGTGTTTTTGTTGACACATCGTTTACTGTACATCTTCTAGACATTTGGGGAAGCAATTAAAAATTCAATTCAGTTCAAGCTGTATTATCCCAAGGGGGAAATTTGTTTTATGGCACAGTCCAGTACAACAATAAAATTCAGGAAGACAAACATAACCAACAGGAAAGACAGAAAAACAGTGTTACTGGAGATAAGAGAGGAGGTAGTTACTTGACATTGTTTTAGATTATATTGCAGTAGAGATGAAAGATTTCCTGGATCTGTTATTTTTACACCTGGGGACAAAGAGGCATCTTCCAGATGGGATTAGTATAAATTCACAATGAAGGGGGTGAGACACACACTCCATAATGCTCTTGGCCTTCTTTATAACCTTTTTCTTGTAGAGAATATTGAGGTTGATTTGCCCCAAGTATTTTGCAACGTGTTTTTATTTATTTTCACAAACTGTTACAATTAATTGTACTGATGTTGCCAAACCAGCAAGTGAGACAGTATGCTAAGACACTTTCAATAAACAACTTGTAGAAAAGTGTTAAAATAGTTCTATCTACCTCATAGTAGATCTACCTGAGTTTCATAAGAAAGAAAGAGTCTCTGCTGGCCTTTTTTATAAATGGTGTCACAAAGTTTCCATCTAGCAAACAAAATTCTACTTCAGAATTGTAATAAAGGAGTTCATCCATGCATTTTCTAACTGCTTTACCCTCTTTATCCAGTACAAAGCCGCAGAGGACAGCGAGCCTAATCCCGCAAGCATTGGGCAGTATACAACCTGGATTGGACCCCAGTCCATCAAAGGCCTTCACACAGACACAAACACACACACTCATACCAGGGCCAATTTTTCCCAGAAGCAAATTAACCTACTAGTACGTCTCTAGACTTCTGTAGGAAACCTGAGCGTCTGTAGGAAGCACATGGGTAAAATATACAAACACCACACAGAAAGCATCCCGGGAATTGAACCCAGGGCCCCAGAGCTGCAAGGTAGCAATGCTAAACCGATTTTCAATTTTTTAAGAACTTTATTTTTTCACAAAAAAATACAGAGAATCACAAAAGAGGAAAGTTTATAATATATATACATACCTAAAACAGTATAGTTCAAGTAGGTACTG